CATCAAGTATTCGGATGAATCAGAACAGAAAAAGCAACTATTGTGAGACGTTTAAATTGAAACTGATATGGTCATTCAAGTCAGATGTTTGCCATCGAAATGCACTCACTCACCTCAGGATGTAAGGCATAAGATCTGGCTTTCTCGAGCAGTGACGACTTCAAAGCTAGCAATCGCTCAGGATGCAGATCCTCCAAAACCTCACGCAACGAACTCGCTCCATGTGGTACCGTCACTTCCGCCTCATACTCGCCTGGACCAATATGCTGAAAATATCACCTCGGAAGCATTAAATCACCCAATGTCAGCTTCAAAATTCAGCTTAATGCTTAATTTCATCGAGCAATTACATACCGAATGGCACCTTTAGCATATCTAAACAACAACTTTCAAATCATATCTCCTACGGATCTAACCGCAACAAAAACACAATCGTTTGTGAGTGGTACGGGAAAACTGCAGAAATTAAAATGTAAATCAATCAAAAAGCGTATTCTCCGCAAAAAAAGAATAGACTAACTTTCACGGTCGGCACATACTTCTTCCAGAGATCATGCGAGAACGTCTCCAACGAGGTTTTACCTCTCAAGAAGTGGATCACATCCAACCAACGCTTCTCCATTTCAATGTCGTCAAATCGTTCGCCACTCATCTTCTCAACAATATTGCCCGTTGCTCCAGACATCACTCCAACAAGCAGTCGATTGAGCAGAATCTCTTTTAGCTGAAATACTCTCAAATATTCACTCACTCAGTTCTCATTAATTTACCTGTTTCCATTTGGATTTATACATGAAAATTCCATTTTTTGATGAAAGAAACCAAGAAATTGGAAAATTGGAGAAAAATCTTAGTTTTTCGTTTAAAAATGTGAGAAATTTCGTTTGTAAATGCTGCAAAAATGACACGACAAGTTTACTTTTTCATATAATTGCAGAGCCTTCGACTCGTATTGCTGTCGATGTGAATGTATTTCATGAAGCTTTCTCTCCACTTCAGGCATCTGATAGTCTCTTGAGAGTTTCTGTGCCTTCGTCAACACCTCGTGAACAACATCAATACGTTCGAGTTTCTTTTGATAGTCTTGGAGAGCCGCTGAAATGCTTTCCTGATAAGATATCTGTTTTGATTGTTTAAGGAATATAATTTATGAATTCTTCATTCAGGATTTCTGTGGCGATTCCAAAGTTCATAGAAAATTCCATTAGAAAGAAAATTGAACTGAAGTTTCTGCGAAACGCAAAACAAAATCCGAATTTCATCAAGAAAAACCTTTTATTTCCTTGATTTTCAAGTTTTTCTCCAAATAATCCAATGCTTCGTCGAACTGTTTTTGCAGCTTCTCTATCTGCAATATTGAATAATCAGTGAGAAGGAACATTATCATTTCATAATACAATCACCCCAAATAGCAACTTAATTCAATTTTCCAAATTAAGATTATTTAAATTCACTTGAACTACCATCAGAGAACTTTAATATTCATATTCTTACAATTGAAATCGTGAAAAATTCCGTTCTCTAAACAAATTCACAATGAAACAATCTCCTTCCTTATACTTTCCATCCGAATTCCTTATATTTTCCAAATTTCGCCCGTTACCTTGAAGAAAGAATTGCAAATACTAGAAATTCCACTCACCTGTACAGAGTAAGTATGGAAGAGCTTAACGACTGGTTCAAACATCTGCGTGAGCTGTTTCGTGAAATCGCCTCCACCTTCACGCATTTGGCGAAGTTTTTGAACGAACTCCGATTTGGGCATCGCTGCAATCGCTTGCTCCACAGCCTGAAATTAATTTCAGTACAACACTACCAGCAACTGCAAATCACTGTAAATTTCCAAATGCAATCATAATCCACTCTTCTAAAAATTCCCCCATCCTTCAAAAGAGATGCCTTCTACCTGTTGTGTCGTATCGTATGCTGTCAAAACTGCCTCCTCAACCAGTTCGTAATTTTCTTCGATTTGGTCCACCATCTGCTTATACTCTGGACCAAGCTCGTTTGCAAACTCTCTGAAATATTTTAGAATACCTATCGAGCAGATTATTACCGAAACATTTTCCCGATATCTTCGTCATTTTCACTCAAACATCATCAATTTCCCTAAAGGCTGACGCACACACCCTTCTCTGAATTCCTTTCAGCCTAACCCCGTAACAACTCTCGTCTGGTTATCATCACTTCTTAAAATTCCCCAGTTCCTAACCAACTACCCGTTGAATCCAGTGCTATCGCCTCAACTGACCTCTGTTCTGCTGTCCAGGATTTCAACAAAGTGTTCAGTGTATGCATGATATCCTTTGCAATAATCTTCTGCGATTCCACCAACGGCATCACGTTATCTTTCAAAGCGCTATTCTGATCCAAATGCTTCGCTTCTGCTATTGTCTGTTTGGCTTTCGCCTGAAATTCTCATTGAAATCGCATTCCTTCCTCTAAACGACACACAATGGTAACCAATAGAGATATTCCGAAATCGCCTGTCAAACTTTGAATATATCTTATAGACTCGCACTTATAATGAACGGATAGATAGCTTTGATTGAATTGAGCGGATAATTCGGTCTGAGACATTCCCTATGAATATGCAACGAAACTTGCCTTGATTTCACCCTCGAGTTGTGGTCGAATGTATGCCTTTGCCTTCAGAAGATTGTCCACTTCAAGCTGAAACCAGAGATTTATCATAACTTATCATAAATGATACTCTGATTCAAGTTAACTCAAACTTAATTGCTGCAGTAAATTGCGTTATGAAAAGTTGAAATATCGTTCCACAAAAAGTCACTGAATGACGGTTAAATGCAGATGACTTGGCTTGATGATCAGAAAATTTCAAAACGACTCGAGCAAATCTGTATAAAATTCAACAAACCTCTAGTGCTAATCTAGCATCTCTGATTCGTTTGCCTCGTTCACTATGCCAAAGCTCCACTTCAGCCGAATACTCGTTAGGCATCTCAGCCGAAGCATGCAATTTCACATCACCACTCTTCTCATCTCGAACATCCAATTCGTAACCTTTGGGTGTCTTCTTCAGTTCACCCAACAACGACGCACGATCACTATTCTGCAATGCATTCACTAAATTATTCATTCATAAAATTCCAATCCTCTTCCATTCCCTCTAAACTGATTTGTCCCTATAGCCATTTGTGACATTTTTAAGAACATTTATATATTTTTTGCTTATGAGAAATAAAAATGATATGAAATTCAAATAAATGAGAACAAGCGATGCATTCAATGAGCATCAAAACCATTTCAGAATTCAAAAAGTATTCCAAAAAGTGTTGTTGAATCGACCAAATAAAAGACTGACTCGAT